CGGCATGGCATGGCTGTGCCAAGTTGCTGTCAAGCCACAGGAAACAGTGAAAGCAAGAATGGCCAACACGAATGGGTGCGTGCGTAGCGTACAGGCGGAGTGGAGGGAGGGCCTGGCCAGGTGGGTGGTTGGTTGCAGAGACGCAGGGAGGGTGCCCCAGCGATTGCAGCTACTGCAGCGATAGTGGGTGAGAGGGGGATGGGTGAGTGAGTGATATGCAGGGAGGCCATGTGTACGGTGGGTGGGTGGCTTGGTTGGTGCCTTGACGAGAGGGTGGTTGGTTTGGGTGGAGCCCAGATTGCCTTCCTCTCCTGTACCTTCGTGCCTGTGTGCCCTGTGTGCCCGTGTGCCTGCATGCCCTGCATGCTTCTTTCCTTTCTGTTCTGACCTTGGGAACACCGCATCATCACAGACAGGACTGATGAATTTATTGCTCCGTCTGGACTTCGCCTTGAAGTTAGCGGGAGCTTGTTCTGTCGTGCCCTCCTTCCATATGATGCCTTGACGGAGGTGTGACTGGTCGTGGCAAAGACAGAAATCGTGACGGATTTCTCGTCAACGTGGAGTCGTGGTGCTGGCGCGTGACACGGAGGGCGTATGGATGTGGGAGGTTGGGCGGGCGGATTGCGTGGATGGTGTGTCGAGCGGTGGTTGGCTGTTGGTGGTGCACCGGACGAAACGCGTTGACTGTACGGCTGAAATGTAAGCAAACGGCGACTGTGGACAATCCAACGGATAGAGCTGGTTTGGATCAAGTTCGTCCGGAATGTGTTCTACACCAAACCACCCAAATCAAGTCAATCCATGCCAAACCAGACCGAAGCAACTGGCTCGCTGGTGGTGTGTGACCAAACACACAGACGCATCTATAGGATGGCACAGGTACTGTATATTGCTGTCGGATGCACACTTCAATACCTCTTCCATATCTTCTTCAACACTGTCCACCTCACCACTTCGTTCTGAATCTTGCTTTATACTGCATCTGCGGTTTCCTCCCTCGTCTGACATATTTTCAACCCTGCATCGCATTGATCGAAGATTTTCGTCGCTTTACGACCACGCGCGCCAGTGATTAATCCGTGCACCCGCAAGCCCTGCTTTTTTCCATAAGCATTTGGTCCTGCTCTTTTAAACACTCCGAGTTTACCGCATCTGGCCCTTTTTCACATAGTCCCAGCCAGACCGCTGGCTGTCATGCCTCCGTCTCCAGCAGCCACCTCCACGTCATCGCGGCTTCGCACCGCGATCGCGCAGTACGGGCGCCTGGCGGTCGCCGTCCACATCGGCGTGTCGACCGTCTCGTTCGCGGGCCTGTACCTCGCCATCCGCAGCAGCATCGACGTGGAAGGGCTGCTGAACAGAGTAGGCCTCCTTCCCTCACCCACCCACCCGTCCCCCGCGCCTCCGACCGATGCTGCTCCTCCCTCGACGTCCCATTCCGCCGTTTCGTTAGAACGCGAAGCCTCGTTGTCAGGGAGCGACCTAAGCTCGAGAGGTCTGCCAGATTCTTCCTCATCCGGCGTAGCTGGCAGAAAGGCCGACCCAGGGGAGCAGGCGAGAGCAGAGCCTTTAGGTACGGGTTCTACTGGACCAAATGTGGCCGTTGGGAATGGAGAAACCACTGAGAGTGGAGGAGCAGCAGCGGCTGGTTTGATAGGAAGTGGTGGTGCTTTGGCTGTTGCTTGGCTCTGCAACAAGGCTCTGATTCCTGTCCGTGTACCCATCACCCTGGCGCTCACCCCACCCATTGCTAGATTCCTGATAGCGAGAGGCTTCAGAATTTAAACGCCCTGGTATCTTATTGGCCATAGTATGAGCCTAAGGGCGTGTTCCTACAGCCCCTTATCAGGCGACCTCTTGTCAGACTTGTGCGGTTCAATGCGATTCATTGCGATCGAATGTTATTATGCGCGTTTCAGTGCGGTGCGACGCGAATCTGACAAGAGGTTCGCCTGATAAGAGGCCGTAGGAACACGCCCTAATATGCCAGAAGCTGTCACAATCACTAATGAATTTTATTCCTGATCTAGTTCTCCCGGTATACAAATACCTGAATAACTTTAGTCCTGAATCTCTGTAGCTTCGTTTGGACCTGTAGAGAGTACAGAGGTCTAAGTCTAAAGGTGGTAGGATAATGGTACATGTGTTAGTGAAGTTCCCTTATCAATCCTAACTGATATCGTGTAGTTGATGTTACACAAATGTGGCGCGAAGTCCAGTCGGTTCATGAACATTTCGTCCATGTTGGCAGCATGTGGTTCAGGAACGATTTCCGTGACCGCCACGTGTCATCCACGTTTTCGAGAGAACACGAAGGGAATTGAACCTTGGGATTCCGTTCTCCACCCCCTCAGTGTTGTTCCGCTCCTAGTCTCCAGAAAGCCTTGTCCTCTCGGGGATTGCATCTTTGCGCCACCAGCAATCCATTCATCTTGAACCCGCCTCCACCTGTCATTTGGTTCATGCTCTTGATTTTGCTGCAGCGTCCTTCGTAATTCTAGTCTTCCCTTGTCTGCTGTTAGAAATTGATCGTCGGCTGTCATTAGTGTTTCCTTCGACGCTGAGTCCAGACTGGCGATTCATTGCTGCTGAAGCGACTAAGCTTTTCTTACTGACGCCTTCTTCACATAACCTCAGGTGCACGAATTTTGGCATAGCATTTCTTCAGAGCATTGTACCGCCATGGCAGCCCTCAGTGCGCAGCTATCTCGCCCAGCAGCACCCAGTCTCAAGTCCGACTTGCTCCGTAATGAGCCTGTGACTGGCAAGAGGGCCGTCGCTGCTGCTCCTTCGCGCAGGAGATTCGCGCGCTCGTCGCGCACTCTCGTCGCAACAGTCGCACAGTCGTCGCAATCGTCGCCGACGTCGCTTAGGGACCAAGCTGACGCGAACGCCGCAGCTGCGATCCTCACTTCCGTCGGCCCCAGCGACACTTTCGTGCAGAGCCTCGTCGCGAAATATTCCCTTCCTGCCCCGTTAGACGCCGCATTCCCTGCGGCTGCCGCTCTCAGGCAGCTCAGAAATGTTTCTGCAGAATCAGCCCGTGTTCTGCGGTGGCCGAGTCGCAAGGATGAGGAATTCCGCTTCACAGACCTAAAATCTCTCCGCGCGATGCTTGACAAGGCTTTAGAAAAAGGCGCTGCGACAGGGTCCGAGTCGCAGGTGGTTTCAGCAGACGCTCTAGCGGAATACACTCTCGAAGAGGCCAAGAATAGTCGGCTTGTTGTGCTTGACGGCGCTATCCGGCTGGAGCTGTCGGATTTGACGGGAATCCCGGCGCAAATGACGGTGAAGCTGCTGAGTGAGCTGAATGCGGAAGAAGTGGAGCGATTCGTGACGCCGAACCTTGGCAGGTGGGTGTTTTCGCTGGTGAGTGTGTGCACAGATGGGTTTGTGCACAAAGGAACGCAGAGGAATCCAAAACGAACGGAAGAAAAGGAAGGAACATAAGATGATGAGTAGAAGGGAGCGCAAGAAAACAAACTGCAGGGTGGAAAGAGTGACGCATGCGTGGGGCAGACCGACAAGGCTTTAAGATGCTCGTATAAGAGTAAGTGCTCCATAGATTGTTCGATTGGGATCGGTTCGGGTTGCATCTTTCTCCATCTCGCCCCTCCCATCCTCCGCTACCCCCACGCTTCCCTTTTAGCGCCTGAAAATGTCCAACAATACCAGCCATCTCGCGGCCATCTTATCACAAGCCCCTTCAAGCCTCAATCCGTCCCAGTATTTCATCTTGCACGTGCCCTTTGAGGCGCCTCTAATAAGTCATTATCCGTCCCACCGTCCCAGTATTTCATCGTGCTGACGTCCCAGGCCGTCTGCTCTCTTTAGTACCCTCAATTCCCCGACTTGTCTCAATCCACCTCCGTTTTCTCCGTCCCCGCGTCCCCCCTCAGGTCCTCCGCGCAAGCGGACCTCTTTGCCGCGATTAACGGC